CTGTAGTCTTTCCTTAGTGCAATCTTATATTTATATTTTTTTCGACTGTGATTTATGTAAGAGAAAGACTGATAAACGTTTCTGTTTATATCATTAATGTTACATTAATATGTATATTTTATTTGAAAATTATAATTAAAGTTATGTTATGCACAATTTTTTTTATTTCCTTCAATTAAATGCGTCATATTTTGAAATCTGGATGTGTAACGACTGATGAGTAATTGTAACAATTGATCCCGTATATGGGGCCGGTTGTTACAAGTTGCTTCACTTTACATTTTCCAATAATACAACCAAATTAGTTATATTATTAAATTATAAAAATAATTTCTACGTTGTTGAAATATATGGCTATTGAAAAATATCTTTGCGGTATTTATTTAATTTATTAGCTACATTTAAAAAATTCATTAAAAAAACAGTATCAATCAGTCCCGGTCTCCCCTGTTTATACTTTAATTTTAATAAATTTTATTCTTTTCAATTAAATTTATTATACTATTTATCCTGTAAGCAAAATATTAGTAGAATGTCGGTAGGTTGATAGATTTGATCAGAACGTATATGTTAGCAAGCTGATATCAACTAAGTGCGCATTTTGCTTATTTTCATTTGACAAAACCTCACATAATCAGCAGAATGGCAGCAGAAATCAAATAGAACCTGCTGACAAAACTTGATAATATATTGACAGCAAAAACCAAGCAGGAACGATACAATTTGATGGTAAAATGGCAGTTATAGAAATTGAGCAGATTTTGTCGTTTTTGTAAATATTTAAATTGTGACAGCACTATTATTGAAAGATCTTTAACAATGACAATTCTTTTTAATTTTTCTTTTAAAGGAATAATTTAAACCGTTTTATTAATGGAAATTAATATATTTTATATTAAAGTATTCAATTTTGAAAATATTAATTCTAATAATAAAAGTAAATCATAGTCCTGTTCTCTATATCAACATCAGCGATTATTTTCTATTAACCCTAGATATACACACTGGGGTCCCAGGGAACTTTTTCGGTTTGGCATTTCTAAAATTGGAAGGACAGGGGTTTGGAATATTGACGTAAAAAAAGTTTGGGATCTCCTCAGTAGGAAGACGTGTTGACGCGCGGCAATTGTCGCTTAATAACCGAGCAGTGAACAGTTAAAGTGCAGAGCGTGGGGTCCCCAGGACTGCTTGCAGTTTTGTTAAAAAATGAAAACATCGAATCACCAAATTTTTTGTTACTATTTCAAGTATGCCCTTTCAGAATTTTCAAGAATTTTTCAAATCGGTTTCTAAACAAAAGAGATATGATTTTTTGAAAAAAGATTCTAAATCGAGATTTTTTCGCGTTTTTAACTTTTCTTTTTCTTTTTCTTTTTTCGTATATCTTGGAGCTCTTTTATCGATTTTTAAACATTATGGGCTTATTTCTTGGTTGTTTCTCTATCGATTGAAAAAGAATTAATTAAAATATGTTTATTTTTACTAGAGTTACAATAATAAATATGGATGGGGTCCCTGGGACCCCAGTGTGTATACGACGTCATCAAAAAAACAGTGTGTATACCTAGGGTTAAGATGCTAGCGCATAATATTTTGCGTTGGCTTCCTTGGTGCAAAAATAATCACATCTTATACCAACAATAAGTGCAGAAATAATTAAGATATCGTCAAATTTGATATAGATTTTGGTTATAAAGAGCCAGATAAATTTTTAATACGAGAAACGTACACCTGGCGACAGTCTTGCAAATATTCAGTGATAGCACAGATTCTGGCGATCCTGCTTGGTTTTTATTATATAACAGTCTATCGTTAAATTATCAATAGATTCTGCTCGATTTTTGTCACCAATCTGATAGCATATCAGCAGGCTTTATTGTATTTCTAACGATAGTTTGCTAATTTTTGTGTAAAATTTATTGCCATAAAATATTAGTAACATGTTCTGCTCAAAATCTGCTTCAAGCAGAATAACAGATTAATAATATCAAAATGACATTAAAATTAATCGTGATTGACCGAAAAGTGATTTTTATCATTATTTGCCATTTTGACGCCATTTAATCAGTTGTCATGACTTTTGGTTTTGCTTGGTTTTCTGCAGATATGATTATCTGAATTATTGTAAATATATTTTTCGTGCCAAAGTAACTAAATGTATAGAGATAAAGGTGGTATTATACATATAATATATGGCCCTTATAGAGATATGAATCCTCTTAATATCTCTGCTATTAAGTATAAGTCAATTCTAGTGATAACTTATTGAATTTGATGTTAAGTAGCCTGCCATTACGCAGTAGCACTAATATGCCAATACACATAGAGTTCCTCAAGTAAAAGTTAGGTTACCAAGTGATGATTTTGATTGCTTGCGCCATATGTACAATAATAGTCGGAACAAGTAATAGAGTGACAGAGTAAAATAGCTGTTCTTACTTTATCTCATTCTACCTAGCTTAATTGTGAAATTGAGAATATTACATAAAATATATATGTAAAGTGAATTATAGATTTTCAATGCTGGTAGTGACTATCGGAATATAGTCTATGAGATATGGAATACAAAATATTTGTCAAAAAATAAATTAAAAATAAAATGAGAAAACACTAACGGATCTTGGTGTTTAATAACAGTTTTATGTATGAATCTCACAATTCTCAATTCAAGTAAAAGATATATACTCATTTGCTACTCATCGAATTATAAAATTGCTTTAGCAATTTAATTATTAATTTAATTATTAAATTGCTTTAGCAATTTGTTGCACAATTTACTTGAACTGAGAATTGTAAGATTAACATATAAAAATATTATTAATGAGAGGATACTCACTCACGAAATTAGTCAAGCACACATCATTGAAATCAATTTGAAATTAAGTTAAATCGGAATTTAGTTGAAGTTATTTTAACATCAAATCTTTAAGAAATTAATATAAGATAACATTAATATCTACACTGTGGTTTTATATATGGAGACAGTTTATTTGTTTCTAAAAAAAATACTAATGTTGAAAATGTTTATTTTGATAATTATCCACTGTACACTCGGAAGCAACGATATGTGATATAAGACGCGTGTTCGCCTCGCGTTATTCGGAGACCGATTTAACGCTTGCAGGTTTGTATTCTGTTTCCGATTCGTGGCAACGCCTTGCGACGGATCACGGATACCCTGTGCCTATTTAACAGGCGACGCTTCGGGAGATATCGTCGCGAGCCACGCGTATCGGACGGACGCGCGATCACGCTTAAGGCCGTCGCCTTGAATCGCGCTAGGCTCGAACACACACGATTTCGTATAATATAGTTTGTATTGAATATAGTTTCTAAATGAGATGACTCGTCGGATACCGAACTCACTCGGCCGAAGATGCTTTCGGATCCGCGTGTCGAACTAGAGTGAGGCTCGACGCCCGATCTCTCAAGACCATAACCGCCCTTATCCCTTCCGGTATGCCCTGCGATTTCACCGAACGGCCTTGGATGGTCATAAAGCCGTAGACCTCTTGGCAGGTAAACAAATGCGTCAGAGATCCTTTGACGACGCAACGGCTCAGAGCGGGCCGATAACGAGTCGGAATCTCCTTTGTGACTCAATGTCTCGACGTGGCGGTAGAAAGGTCTAGGATCACCGGCGCCGAGCCCCTAATTGCTTGCATATGCTGGAAATCGTTTTTGTCACTCCGCATAACGATAATATACATATGTATATATATG